TTCTCATATATATTTATAAAGATTTGGACATATAACTTGATCCAAGTTCGAATTTTTTACTTGGAAGTTCTACTTTTTTTTCAAAATGCTTGATCGAATCTATCTCGTCCAGATTTGAGTCTACTTGAAAGTACTTTTTTTAAAGTAATCATAGAAAAAGTTTGAAACATGCAAGTAAATTCGAACCTACTTGTAAGATATTTAATTTCATCGCTATATAGTAATCGAATAAATTTTTAGACACATGTATAACTAATATATATATATATATATATATATATATATATATATATTATGGAGCTTTTTATAATATTACGGAAATTTATAATTTTTTATTTAATACCCATTTAACAAGCATACGTCACTTTGACGAATGATGTCATTTTGACGTTTAATGACGTTAGTTTGCTACTTAGGTATTCATAATTACTATATTTATTACATTCAAAATATTAATAATTATAGATATAATTAGATATTGTTATTAACGAATTGTCTTCTTTTTTGTGACTAAGTAATACACCTCGGTAGCATGATTCTGTGAATATATAAACTGAAAGTCGAACGTCGAAGAAACGTCTTCTAAGAGAATCCTTTACTTTTACTCCGGGAAGGAAGCTTCCCAACAGTGATATACGTATCCGGTGTGCAGGTAAAAAGGAAGTAATACGTGATCGGAGGCGCGTAGGCGCTTCGGATTAATCGCATGCGAAATATCGTCCCCCAACCTTCGACACCGTCGGGGCGTACTTACGCGCGCAACGAACTTAATTAACTGAACGCACGTGAGCCGTATCGGGCGGCTGGCATTTCTTTTTCCTTTTTTTTTGTGAATGGAACCGTGAGAGACGTACGCGAACTCACTTCGTGCTCTTGTATCCGCGTAATAACCGTGATCCGACGAATCCAGCGGTTCTCATAGCGGAAGATACGATAGCCGGGTTCCGGAAGTACGACGACCTCCGTACTTACGACGGTTGGCTGCGCTGGGCGAGAGGAGCAAAGGGTCCTTCTCCTTCCCTATCTCTGGTCACGAACATTAGAAATTAACGGCACGAAGCTCGCAGGCGAAACTTATATATAGGCGCAAGAATGCGCGTTGTGAGAAATCGTCCGTCCAAGCTCTTCTTGATCGCTTCGAGAGCGTGTCCTCTCCGTTAACCGCGTCTTACGTTCGATCGGAGAGTTTGATTTAGCGGGATCTGATTCATGAAATAGCGCAGATAATTCTCCTTTGTCAAGCTTCATTCGATGATGCTTGATTTATATGACGGTGTCCCGTTACTTCTTCTCCGTGGAATTCTTCGACAGGTTAAGTTAGATTAGGTAAAAAAAAATTTTAGATTATATATGTTTTGTATATATATGTGCGTAAAAAATTACATAGATAAATCCCTAACAGTACACATATCCGAAGGACGTTCAGAGAACATTCAGAAAATATTCGGATGTCTACTGGATATTCTCTGAATATTTTTCGGATATGTTGTGCTGCTAAAGATATAAAACTAAGACAAAATTGGGAAGATAAATTTCCGAAATCGCGGATTACATCGAGATCTGTAGAAAGTGACGCCAACTTTGAAACTCATAGTTTCGGTTTAACTAATATTCTAGTCCCTACTGAATCGTGTGAGAATAATAACCAGCAGGATGCTTACTTCACATACTTACACGCGGTCCATTTATCTGTTTCTACTGCGACGATGATGTTCCCGAGAGAAGGAACGGCGAGGAACACCGAGGAACTCGTTGCAGGACATCCTTATCACTATGCAAATCTTTATCCTCCGCGCAAGATGTATTTCCACGAATGCTTCCTTTGGAAAATAAATCTCTCACGCGATATACGTCGCAATCTGCGTACGGGAGCTTCGTATATCGTGTAAAAGGACCGTCGCAAAAGTACGCTTGCATAAATACGTAGGAATAATATATTCGCGTACGTGCGTGGTTAGATAAATATACTATACATATCCGCGGAAAATATTGGCTATGCATACTGAAAATATGTATGTACAATAATGCGTTTCAATATTTCATAATCCCTTAGAATTTTATGTGGTAAAACTTTCGAATCAGCTCTCATGATTTTGCGATTTTGATGCTCTTTAAAAAGTTTTAAGTGTTGTTTGTTGCTTATTAAAAATTATATTGACATAACAAGTTTATTAAATAAAACGTAATTTTTTTTATATCAACTTTCTCTTCCTCATATCTGTACCTTCATCCCGGAAAAATGTAAATCAAATTAAAATTTATAAATAAATTATTTGGTTTAAAATGTAATTTTTCTTTCTTTATTTGTCTTAATTTCTCTGGAACATACACAGTATCAAATGTTTCAAAGATATGAAACAATTATATCAAATACTTAATCTGTATAATATTGCAATGTCTTATTAAACTTTCACTAAGTAAAAGTTGTATCTAATTTCAGGAAAAGATCTATGGTTGAAAAGGAAGATGAGCAAAGACAGCTTAGTATTCAATAAAATGTATAATCAAAATGTGTATACATATATATAATAAATATATGTATAATATGCTATAAAAAATAATCTGTAAAATTATTTGTTAAAGAGATACTTTATTTTGGCAAAGTTACATTAAACTATTTAATCACAGTAGTTATCGTAATATTAAAATTAATGTTTTATATTAATGTACTATGCAGTTTTGTGTTAGAACAATGTTTTCTCTTAGACAGAAAAGTTCTGAATATCCATAAGAGCAAATGAGTTAATTAAACGAGTTAATTAAGAATCAAATGTAATAAACGGTGCACAAAAAATTATTCTTTTTTATTATATATTATTTATTTTGTACGTTTCAATTATAATTTTGGACCATCTTTAGTAATTGTCATGCAAATACATGGATAAAATAAAGCTCATGAAATATGGATTATGAACACAAATTCACAATCAAAGGTATATCTAAATAAGTGGGAAAATTTTGAGGAGATAATTCTTTGTAGAAAATTAAGGGGGGTTAATATAAACATATATAAACATCTTATATAAACATATACTTTATAAGGTCTTATTTAAATATATACTTTAAAAATAAAAAATATAAATAAAATTAAATAGGGGTTGTTGGTTTTATCTCCTTATAACGATACGGGAAGATAAAAGAAATATTAATAAATATCCTTTTTTTAGAAAATATCTATCAAATTTCATTTTTTAATTTGTCTGAAATTTGAGAAAAAATAAAAATTTAATTTTTATCTCTTTTTTTAAAAAAGAGTAACTCCTCAGGCAGGGATGTAAGAGTTTATATAAGAAACTCTCTTTAATTTTTGACAAAGAATTATTTAAATTTATTCGTACTTATTTAGATAGACTCTGTATAAACATACATAAAAATCCATTTAATTATGCATCTATCCATGACCCTCAGCAAAGTGATTTTAATTGGGTTCAATGTTTGCTAAGACCGGACTGGTTTATCGGAACGTCATTAATCGTCGCTTTTGTAACGTTAATTAGACTGGTCATCGATGCGCCCCGACATGGATATATGAACGTGAATACTTGTGTCTTACTTTAATCTTACTTTAGTCTTAGTCAGTTGCGCTTTGTCGAGATCGGTCGTGCTTTATCGAACCTTCGATCAACTCTTAGATTGAGTACTGGCATGATCTCGCATCCTATAAGAACCGTTTCAGATATTGTTATCATCGTCATTCGCATATAATTTTCAGCGATGTTTATGTAATGTATGCTGCGATATATTGAAATCGGCCGGTATGAACTTTGTTGTCCGACATAAAATTATAATAACAATATAAACATTGTATAAAAAGTTATATGTCTAATTCAAACACTATTTAATTTTTATCTCTAGATTACTTGTCTAACAATATATGTTGTAACTGTAAAACAAAATTTCTTTTATTGTTGTAATTGAATCGTCTACGTCTATGACGTAAAAGAGCGCTCTTAATCGACGTTTTTGTAGGCAAAAAATATTCCCGGACAATAACGCGATTTCTAGAAAATATATTTAATTCCTAAAGAAATAACGATTGATATAAAATGCACAAAAAATACTTTGAAATGTTTGAAGCACAATCTTGATGTACTATTCGCAAAGATTAATGCATTATTCGCAGAAATTAGGTTAGGTTAGGTTCGAGGTCTTTCGATCAATTCTAAAAGACAATTGTTCTGATTTCAATGATTTATACTTGCATATCGTTTGATGATGTTAACAGACTACTCTACTAACATTTGGGAAAAAATTTTTCTCAAGCATTTAGGAAGTGCAATATTTCGAAAGTAGATTAGATTACAACTAAGAAAGATCTTAAGAGCCATACGCGGATGTTAAATTGCTGCGTATATTTCCAACGAAAATTAATTTTTAATATTAATAAAATTAAATAAACAATCGTGTACAAGGCACATATTATTTTCGGTATACTACTAAGACTTAAAATCTGAAATAATCTCATACTTATTGAGATATCATTTTTATAAACCCCTCTAACCTCCTTATTGGAATAAAGAAATAAATAAATGCGAGAGAAAAGTCTAGATCCGAAAATCGCTGAATTGGGAATCGAACCCGAGACCTTTCGATTAGAATAAATAAACATTTTATTAGTCCCTTAAGAGTTTCAATATATGATGACAATATCTTACATTAATGCAAATCTCGCCATTGGTATCCATCTAGTACAATTATTAATAATTAACAAAACAAAACAATAAAATATAAAAGTATTAAGAACACCTAAAATATGTGACACAAGTCGACACAAACATTATTCTGTCTTTTTTCAACATTCAGGAATAATAAAAGATAGAATGATATTTATGTCAGCTTGTGTCAACTTGTGTAATAGGAAATCGAGATTAGAATAATCTATTAACGCATACAAAATGATTTGATTCAAGGAAGGTCATACACACTCAAGGTTCGTGCTATTTATTTTCTTGCCAGACGGATACATCATCTCCAGCCGATGAGTGAATCGGATTTAACAAGCGTATCATCGTAGACGAATGTTTATCTTTCTTTTTTTTGATACGAGGCCACTTAAAGCCAAATGTCGAGAGATACGCGCATCTCGCTTTCTCATACGAATCTAGGAGCCTGTGGAATCTGCACGCGTGTGGATTCGCGTGGAACTCCAAAAGACCTACAAGACCTATTTTCGCGATCGCCTCATCCTGAGGAATTTTCGCTGCACACTGTCCATCGGGAATAAAGACGCAAAGCAGTCTTTGTCTGTCTGTATTCGAGGACAGAAGGTGTCGAGGATTCTCTTCAGTGGTTTCAAATTAATTGGTAAGTGTTTTTTCTTACGCGATTCTTCTATCCCGATCTGCGTAAACCAAATTTTTTGCCATGCATTAATCAAATAGAATTATGCAAAAAATCTAAACATAGATATGTGACTAAAACATCTTATAAAATATATTAATAAAAGATTTTATTGCCAATTATATTAGATTGATTTTAAGATAACTTTGTGCCACTGATTTCGAATATGGCATTAATTTTTCTAGATTGGCTCTAATTTTTTAGATAATGAGTACTATATATAAAAATATTTTCAAAAATGCAAAAAATGTAATAGTCAGGCGTAGCCTATCCCCAAATTATATAGAAAATTGTTTCAAATCATCTCAAAATTAAATCTATATGTGAAATAACTAATGGCATTGTTAAGAGTTTAACACGGCTCTGTAATATAAATATAAATTTAAAGTGTAAGACAGGCAATAAGAGCCAATCGCGGAAGACAGTGCGTTATCCTAACGATACTAAATTTTCTCGTTAGAATTAAATATCTTGTGCACAGGGCACCAAATTTTACTTGGTCACGGCCAAGATTTAAAATATGAAATAATCTCATTTTTGAGATTTAATTTCAATAATCCTATAACCCCCCTACGGAAATAAATAAATGCAAGAGAAAAATATAGATCCAAAAGTCGCTGAATCGGGAATCGAACCCGAGTCTCGATTCAGCGACTTTCGGATCTACATTTTTCTCTTGCATTTATTTATTTCCGTAGGGGGGTTATAGGATTATTGAAATTAAATCTCAAAAATGAGATTATTTCATATTTTAAATCTTGGCCGTGACCAAGTAAAATTTGGTGCCCTGTGCACAAGATATTTAATTCTAACGAGAAAATTTAGTATCGTTAGGATAACGCACTGTCTTCCGCGATTGGCTCTTATTGCCTGTCTTACACTTTAAATTTATAATGGCATTGTATTAAGTAAAATAACATAAAAACAATGTAAGCTGATTCAGATGATTATAATTAATGCAGAGAAAAATGCTGTTTACATAATTTTCTTTTATGTAGGTCAACAGGATCATGTTGGAGATAAAAATAATGTTAAAGAAAGAGATAGATCAAATCCTACTGCATATGTCAGTAGCTATAGATCGTATTTTGATAAAATCATAATTTGAGTATTCATTATCTCAAAATCTAGAGCCAATTCGGCAAAATTGTTGTCATTTTTGGATTAAGCATTCCCAAAATACTTTAAAATGTATTGAAACATTTTTGATAGTTATCAAATATCTAAACAAAAATTTTGTGTTGACCAGTGTTTAGTCATCTTTTTCTCTAGTCTATCTTTCTTTTTATCTTTTTTACATAAATCTTAGATACAGACTTGATGCTCAATTTTCCTTTTGTTGATGTATGTTTTAACCTAAGCTTAAACTAATTTGCAACATTTATCAATTATGATGTAGTCCTCTTGCTCTACTCCTTTCTTTCGTATGACGTAACTCGGATTTATAAAGTTTTCGAAATTATTAATATATTCATCATGAGAATATCAAACGCCGCTGGAATGCGTGCGTGTGTGGGAATTATCGCGAGATATCACGAATTATGCAATCCGTGCACATCCAGACTCTGTAGTGGCGCAACCGGTTTCCGTAATATCTGACATAAGAGTTTCGGAGAACAGCCTGAGTCGCCGTTTATCGGGATTTCAGATAATTATGCCAATACGCGAGAGAGCTGTCTATTATACATGGAGTGTCGCAAAATAATCATGAAGCGTGGGATTCTCAGATGCATCAGCTGTAGAATTTTTTTCTAGGTTATCAACGAGTAATCGCAAAATTAACATCCTGACAAAGTTTCTCATATTTTATCGTAATTAAATGCATAAATATATGATAATTACATCTTACGTACATATATGTTATCTATCTAATTAGTATCCAGTTTATTATCATCACATGTTTTTGTTTATTTAAGAGGATTCTTCAGTAAACGTAAATCCGACAAAATAGTAGCGGTCTCATTTTGAGATTAAAAATATCAGTAATTATATCAATTGATTTTCGAAGAATAATTACTGATACTTTAAATTTTACATTAAAAATCAAACAGATCAAATATGTATTAGAAATCCATGTATATATGGTACACATTACTTTTTGCTGCGTCTTATAAGTTTGAACGTAAATATATATTACTGTTTTTTGCTCTATTATACCTACAACGCACGCACACAAACGTGCGAATCGTAATATAAACTATACTTTTATATTAAACTTCTAATCTAGATTTAGAGGATAACAGTTCTTTTTTTCATGTATCTCAATCTCAGGGATCTTGTGTTTATATTCATATAAAATGTATATTTTTTATATAAAGCACATAATATGATGAATTGACAGTACGTCTGTAATTCAAGACGTCATATTGAGGTAAAAATAGATAAGGAAAACTGTAATTTCGTAATTGTTTTTTTGTTTTTCATATTAAATCGAACTTAGCTAGGATCATTGATGTGCATTGCAATTGTAGAGGAGTATTTTTAGTTCTGTCAAATTAATGCGACAAAAGACTAGAAGTACAAAAATAATAATTGGTCGATAAAACAGACAATAGTGAAAGATCCCCTTTAAAAAATGCTAGAAGAAAAAATAGAAAAAAATTAAAAAATTATTTAAAAAAAATTATCAATTATTTTTAGAAAAATTTTTACTTTTAGGAAAAATCACGATGCTGCTCTTCATCATATGTTTCCTGCCTCTAGTGGCGTCCCAAATCACATCTTCAAATTTAATTCTGGACATCCATAACGGTACCTTAACAGACATTCAATTCGTCGAAGGCTCAAATCATACGGTATTAGACCTGTCAAATTCCTCTCTTCGTGGATTGGAAAAAACCGCTTTTGACAACGTACTCGACGCAGAGTCGCTCATATTGGCCGACAATTTGTTAAGTTCTCTGCCGGAGTTTGTTTTTTCCAATCTCACAAGATTGAGGAGCCTGTCGCTATCAGGCAATCAAATATCGAACGTCCAAAATCTGTTTGTGGGTCTGGAAAATTTGCAATTGCTGGATATCTCTCGCAATCCCGTCAAACATTTCACTAGAAGTTACCTGTTTGGTCTCAGCAAATCCGTCAAGATTCTCACCAACGAAAATGTCCTATGGAGTATCAGTACAGATGTGTTTGCCAGCTCCTTCAAGGAAGAGGAACCGAAGCGATTAGCAGCGACGATGGACCAGGAGCAGGATTTCGTGGAAAAGAGCGAAGAGAAGAAAAAGGAAATGGAAGACAGCGCGGTGGAACGCGATGCTGAAGAGCCAGTCTTAAAGCCTCAAGAGGTCGTCCAAACTCTTAACAAGGACACTCGAGTGAAAATCTGCAAGTCGGACGGCATCGTGACGTCATTGGCGACTTTTGAAAAGGATGAAGAACTGGTTGAAGGATGCATCCAAGTGCAGGTCGACGTCGACGAGACGCAAGTAAATCTTCGCGAGCGAGGCATTAGAAGTTTTCAGGAAAACTGGTATCGGTTGCAATCGCTGCCGATCTCTTCCTTGGATCTGTCGAACAACGAAATCACCGAGATCACGAAAGAGATGCTGAACAATCTGCCGACCGATCTGACATACGTGAACTTTCTGGGCAACAGGATTCGCAGAATCCGGAGCCAAGTGATTGAAAACAATCACCTAAAGAGACTCAACTTCAAGGGCAATCTGATCGACGAGATCGAAGAAGACGCATTTGAAAAAACAAAACTACGGGGATTATTCCTAGTCGATAATCAGCTGAAAAATCTCAACTTCGTCTCCAGTCTGCCAAACACTTTGACAGAATTCGTCGCGAGTGAAAATCGCATAGCGTCCATTCCTGACGGCGCTTTCTCCAAGTTCTCTCGTTTGCTGTACCTGAATCTCGACGACAACGAAATCAAAACATTGCAAAGTGACGTCTTTCAAGGTTTAGAATCCTTGCGATCGTTGATGTTAACGAGCAATAATATAACGACCATCGAGTTTTCCGCTTTTAGAGGTCTGACGGCTCTCGAGAGGCTCGATCTTCATCGCAATTCTATACGCGATTTGCAAGAAGCCACCTTCGCCGAGTTGACGGCTTTGAAGAATCTGAATCTCGCCTATAACAACATCGCGAAAGCCACATTCGCTGATTTACCGTCGTCTGTGGACTCGTTGCTCCTCGATTATAATGAGATCGACGTGCTCGAGGAAGGTAATTTTGTTCGAGTTCCGAAAGTCATTCTGTCATTGACCGGAAACAGAATCACCAGTATAAAGCGCGGCGCTTTCAATCTGCCCGTTCTTAAGGACCTGAACTTGAGTCAAAATCTCTTGACGACCATAGAAGGCGATAGCTACGAAGGTTTGAATCAATTGAGACGCCTATGGCTTTCGGAAAATAAAATATCCGAGATTCGCAAGGGTGCTTGCAAAAATCTGGGTAGTCTTTATATCTTGGACATAGCTAGGAATCCATTTCAAAAGTTGGAAAACGGCGCTCTTCACGGCCTCAACACTGGCTTGGGAACCAGTTTGTATATTTACGAGAATAATGTGAGAGAGATGCAAGGCGGTGTTTTCGACGATATTTAATAAAATCGAGGTTATTCTTTAAGAACTCCGACACACATTTATAATGTTTTCAAAAAATATATGTATTGAAAACATATAAATATAAACATATAAATTTAAAAAACATAAAAATATATAAAATTATAAAAATTATATGTATTGAAAAATATGTAAACATATAAATATATACAAAATATTGAAACAAATTATTGGAACAAAATTATCTGAATCTTTGTGATCGTAATCCATGATAACTGACGAACTGACAACTGCATTGTGAAATTCACTGCTAGTATCAAAAATTAAAAATCTACAGTATATAATATGTAGTCTCCCAAAAATAAATTGTACTTTTGATTGAATAATTAATAATTATATTTATAATGTTAATTTATGTGACAAAAATATATTTTAAACATTTTTCATCAAATATATAATTTATTATTAACTTAATGTTGCAAAAAATTAACAAGATATAGCACTGAAATTCGAATTATCATGCATTTTAATTGAACTCCAGCTCTGTTGTAATGTGCAAGAACGATTTTTAGGCATTTTATATAATATCTGCTACAAAAATGCAGAGTAATGTGTTAAAAAATTTTTGGAACAAAGTGCTATTTTTTAGAGAAAACGAGAACCATTTTATCCCAATCGCTCTATTTTTATTAAAAACAGTGACCATATACGGTTATAGTGAAATGAAATAGGAAGCTTACCTTAAAAATCAGATCTTTAAGAAATCGAATTTTTTTACTAAATACATTTAATCACTTCACAGCAAACACTCGTATGATGGCAATGTTTCAGAGATAGAATAAATATGAAATTCTATACGTAGAGAGACAACAGCTCCAACTGGGGAGGAAAGTACAGAGTACCATTTAACCCCGGGGGATCACTATAGACCCGGGGGTCTCCTCTAGATTTAATAGAACGTATCTTACCTTACTATTTATTTATAGTAAATCGTACGTGCGAGCAAAAAAGTAAAAAACCTTTCTACTTGTACTTCCACCTTGAAAAAATTTCTAATCTACTTTCTACTCAACACATTTCCTAAAGATAATTATTAAAGATAAATAATTTTTCAAGAATTTTATATTATCTTTAATTTATATCATTTAATATTTTAAAAAATATGCATATATATAATATATAGAATTATTTTGAGAAATTATAGAATTTTGAGGAACCTTGACAAGATATGTCAAGGTCAAAGTTATTGGGGCTGAATCCGTTTTCGGTTCAAACACAAAATTTTATCTTTTGTGTTTTTAAATCAAATATTTGTATTCGCAAGAAATTATCTGTTAAGAGAAAAATGTACACAAATTGAATCAAATTAAGATTTATAGACAAAATATTTTGTTCAAAATATAATTTTTTCTCTTTTTTTATCTCTCTGGAACACACGCAATATCAAATGTTTCAAAAATATGAAATAATTATACCGAACAATCTGTAATATCGCAACGTTCTATTAAACTTTCACTAACAATAAGTAAAAGTTATATTTAACTTCAAGAAAAGGTTTGTGGTTAAAAAGAAAAATGAGCAAAAACATACCAGTATTCAATAAACAGTTAATATTCAATATATAAAATGTATAATCAAAATATGTATAATATAAATATATAATATTCTACAAATAATCTGTAGAATTACTTTTAACAGAGATATTTTTTATTAATATTTTTTTATTAACATATTAAATTAAGATAGCAAATTATTTAATCACGTTAATTATTCCAATAGTCAAATTAATGTCTCATATTAAAATATTACATAGTTTTGTGTTAATGATCTCTCTCTCTCTCTCTCTCTCTCTCTCTCTCTCTCTCTCACGCACACAACTATTTCAAACTATCTTTAGTAACTGTCAAATATAAATAAAATAAATTTTATAAAACGTGGAATTATAAACTCAAATTCGCATATATCTAATATGGATTATAAATTAAACTTCGCATGTAAAATACATACACATAAAAATCGGTTTAATCGCGTGCATATGTTTTATCCGTGATTCTGAGCAAAGTGATTTTAATTGGGTTTAATGTTTGCCTAAGGCCGCACTGGTTTATCTAAATTATCATTAATCGTTTTCATGACGTTAGTTAGACTGATCGTCGATATGTTTAGACTTGGATACTTTAGTGATTTGCGGTTCGTTAAGATTGATCATGCTTCATCGAACCTTTGATTGATTCTTCGATTGGGCATAATCCGACATAATTTTGTATTCTAACGCTATTAAAAACGTTTCAGATATTGTTATCATCGTTATTCGCATAATTCTCAACAATATTAATATAATGCATGATATATTGAAAACAGTCAGTATGAATTTTATCTAATGTAAATTTAAAACATTTATCGACAAACATTGTATAAAAAAGTCATATGTCAAATTTTTAATTCAAACACTACTTAATTTATTATCCAGATTAAATTGTTTATTTAAATATTATAACTGCAAGACAGAATTAATTTCTTTTATCATGTTGTTGTAATTGAAACGTTTATGACATAAGAGCGTTATTAATCAATGATTTTTTATAAGTAAAAAATATTCCCGGATAACGACGCGATTTGTAGAAAATATATTTAAATCGACAAACAGAAAGCAAAAAAGATATAAAAAGAGAACGATTGGCACAAAATGCGCAAAATATGTTTTGAAATGTTTCAAGCTTAATCTTAAAGTAACATTCAAAGATTAATATGCAGCATTATTCGCAGAAATTATAGATTATAGGTTAGATTTAAAATCTTTCAAGCAATTCTAAGAAATAAATTGTTCCACACAATTTTATTCATTTATATACTGCTTATAAAAATTAAGGGAACACTTAATTTTTCAGAAAAAATTTCAGGTATCTGTATACAGCTTGAAATATGTTTTTTCGAGAAATCTACACTTTTTTTATTTTCTATAAATTTGGTAATTTTTACATAAAGAAAATCACGAGCTAAGCAAAATTTTTATTTTGATCTAAAAAACAATTATAAAGAAAAAAATTTACTCTTTATGTTTATTTATACTTTTAATAACAGTATCTTGCATTTTAAAAAATTACCGAATATAGCTATAAAATTTCTTGTATGGTAGTCACTGTAGCTTTTTTGGACAAAACGTACAAAAATTATGAAATGGATTACTTTCAGTGAAAAATAAAGTTCAATTAACGTTAAAAAAATTAATTTCTAGTGTAAATTCTTAAAATAAATAGCTAGATATATGCATGCATCAACTCCAGAAGGAGTTTGGAGCCAAAAATATCGTAAAACTGACGAGTTGTGAGATCTCACTTCTATGGAGACATATACATATAACATACTTATCGAAGCGTAAATCCGACCATGCGACATCTTCGTGACTTTGTGATACGTTTTGGATAGCGCTAACGCTAGCGTATTTTTTCAAATTTCAATGAAAAAAAATGTAAACATTTTTTTATTCTTGTTGACAAGGTTAATGTACACAGTACATTAAAAATTAATTTTTTTAACGTTAATTGAATTTGATTTTTTACTGAAAGTAAGCAATTTCATCATTTTTGTATGTTTTGTTCAAGAAAACTATATTAGCAACCATACAAGAAACAACTATTCGCTACATTTTTCAAATGCAAGATAGTTAAGAATGTAAAAAACATGAATAGTAATTTTTTTCTTCTTTTTAATTGTTTTTGAATTAAAACAAAAAAATGAAAGAAACACTAATTTTTATTATTTTATTCATTTGTTATTTTCATTTATTTTCAGCCTTAATAATCTGCTTTTTTAACTGTAATATGATGATTTTGACGGAGTTATGAGCAATTAAAGTCAGAATGCTTATTTTTACTTAATTTGCGACTATAGTAACAGAAAATCTTAGAAACAGTTTTAAAAAACGATTTTGTAGGGAAAACTTTAAGCTTTTACAAAGGAAAGCTGTAAATTGTAGTAAATGTTATTTAAAAAATTACAGACCCACAAAATGAGACGAAATTTCTCATTTTGTCCAGCTCGTGGTTTTCTTTATGAAAATTACCAAAGAACTCTACACTAATCATATAGAAAATCTATCCCGATCAAATCAATTGGTTTTTCCATATGTTGTAGTTTATGACCTACTGAACAAAAGATAACCTTGACGGCTTTAGCTGTATAGAGCGCTCAAGTTATGTATAGTGCGCTGTATACTAGCTAGAGCCGTCATCAAGGTCATTCAAAGTCATTCAAAATTCAAAAATAATGTCACCAGCTAACAGATTTTCTAAAACCCTACTATTTTTGTTTCAAACATTTTTCCAGAAAATCAATACTTTACGAGATTTGACTATTCGGCAGCCCGAATTTTTCATGTTTGATTGATTATAACTCAATAACTGTCTATTATTGAGCTTTGTGACCATTACATTTTTTGTTCAGTAAATCATAAGCTACAACATATGAAAAAACTAATTGATTTGACAGGAATAGATTTTCCATATGATTAGTGCGGAGTTCTTTATAGAAAATAAAAAAATATAAACCTTTTGAAAGTAAAGATTTCAAGTTTTAAAATACTTTTTTTTAGATTAAATTTTGTTCATATCTACCGAGATATTACAGCTATCTGTACTTTTTCTATTTTTTTCAAAAGAATTAAGTATTCCGTAAACTTTGCGAGCAGTATATTTACATATCATTCCCAGCCAGAAATGATATCGAATCGACGTCGATTCGACGACGAATTGACGTCGATTCATCGTTGAATCAACGTCGATTAGATAAATCGATGTCGAATCGACATCGATTTGACGTCAATTTGATCATTCATTTCTAGCTGGGTTGATAACGCTAACAGATTGCTCTACTAATACCTAAGAAAAATTTTCCTCGACCTTGGGTCGATTTGAAGAGTATTTCAAAAGCATTGAGTGATATATTAAATTTGTGATTGGACCGTTTGTGCGTGCGAAATCAAACGGAAATTAGAGTAATCGCGTCGGTTAACGCGTCAAGTGATATAATACCGAGGAAGGTTATATACACACGCGGCTCGTGCTACATATTTATTTTCTTCGATTCTCGTCAGTGGATACATCATATCACGAGTGAGTGTCGCATCAGATTCAACAACCGTATCATCGTAGGGGAATGTTTGAATCCTCCTTTTTTTTCGATACAAGGTTGCTTACCGAGAGAACGCGCATCTCACCTTCATGTACACGCGGGAATCTAGGGATTTGTGCACGCGTGAGATTTGCGTGGAACTCCATAAAGGCCTGCAAGACCTGTTTTCGCGATTACCTCGTCCTGAGGAATCTCCCCCGCGAGCTATCCATCAGAGACACGAAGCAGTCTTTGTCTCTTTGTATTGGGAAAAATAGAAGGTGTCGAGGATCCTCTTCAGATTGACTTTGCAAATTGACCGGTAAGTGTGTATTTTATTATGCAATTTCTTTCACCGCGATTTGCGCGAATTAAACTTTTTGCTATATATTAATTAAATAGAATTATGCAACAAAAATTGATATGCGATAAAACTCTTACAACATATAATAATGAAAAGGGAATTTGCCTATATCTTCGATAGAACAAGATTATGGTCCGCTGTTAGCATCAACATAATCAATAACACTGTTCAACAAAAAAAAATACTGGCACAAAATTAATTGCTTTTTATCACTGGAAAAAATTTTGTTGTTTTTCGACGAAACAGAACTACTGATTAAAACGACCATAATTTCTTTTAATGCAACAAGAATCTTGGTTGGCACAAACAATTGATTTGTTGTGTAAACAAGATTCTTATTGCATTAAAAGGAATTATAGTCGATTTAACCAATAATTTCTGTTTCGTCGATTTTTGAACAGAATTTTTGTTAAGGTAGTAGATATTAAACTGACTACACTGGCTGTCTATTAGATTTGTTAAACTATATTTATTGACGTTTCGACCATACGGGCTGTGGTCCTTTTCAAAATTACAATAGAAGCATTAATGAGTTACTGCATATCGTTATTGACATTTAAAAGTACGCTCCGGTGAGACTTAACTTAAGATCGGATGGTAAATTAACTGCGTTTCACTTGTGTCATCTTGCCACGACTGAACACACTGTACAGTGTGTTCAGTCGTGGCAAGATGACACAAGTGAAACGCAGTTAATTTACCATCCGATCTTAAGTTAAGTCTCACCGGAGCGTACTTTTAAATGTCAATAACGATATGCAGTAACTCATTAATGCTTCTATTGTAATTTTGAAAAGGACCACAGCCCGTATGGTCGAAACGTCAATAAATATAGTTTAACAAATCTAATAGACAGCCAGTGTAGTCAGTTTAATATCTACTACCTTAGTATTTCATTCCTGGCGAACGAAATTTAATATTTTATTGTTAGAATTTTTGTTAATATAAGAAAATTTTTTTCCAGTGTAATTACATCATAACTCGGCCCAATTAATTTTTGTAATATCTGACAAATAGAGTTTCGAAGAATAGCACGAGCCGCCGTTTATCTACCGAGATTCTTATATTAGATTGGTGCAGAAATAATGTCAGTTTTTGATTTTAAATGTATATTTTAGCTCAGAATAATTTTTTAAATAAAAATAAGAGTTATTATAATTTTTATATCTTCGCCAACAAAAAACATATGTTTGATCAATAGTAATAAATTATTCTAAAATTAATGAATTCTTTGGCGTTTGCAGTTACTGTTTGATTGTTAAAGATTTTCTACAAAAAGCTGTGAAGATATGAATAAGTGTTAGTAATTAGTTAGCGAAAAATCCAGTAAATATGCTAGGCGAGACAGAATTTTTGTAACTGTCGACTAAACTCGAATAAGAGAGTCTACAAAAATGTACTTTTATTTTTGTTACTTTTTAATAATATTTGGCACATTATACTTCATTGAAGATTAAAGTACGTAATATTATCGAAATTAAATAAGTAATAAACACTTAATAGAAATTTTATATTACAAAACTATTAAAACATGAGCATTACTCATTTCTGATGACAGCATTACATATTTCTGATTTGTAGGAAAAAGATGGCTATAATATTATAGAATCATATATATATATATATATATATATATATATATATATATATATATATATATATAACGTTTTTAACGATTCATCATAATGATAAGATGCGATTTCTTTCTTTCAAAACTTTTTCAAATGTTTCAAAAATTCTGATATAATCACATTGTTTAATAATGACAACAGTATCAACTAATTGAACTTTTATTAAGAAATTTCTCACTTGAAAAGGACCAAAAACAGATGGTCAAAACGTTGTGAAAATAAAATAAAAATTTTCTTTGGCTAGTTTGGGTCGAATTTAATATATCGTTCCTATACTAAAATTTAAAATTACAAAAACCGACATTATTTTTGCACCAATCTAATAATTATTCCAATACGCGAGAAAAACGACTATTATACATAAAATGTTACAAAATAATCATAAAACGTGGGAATCTTTGATACATCTGCTATAGAATTTTTCTGGATTATCAGTAAATAATCATAAAATCAATATTAATTACATCTAACATATTATCTACCTAATTACTTTCTTATTTATTATCATTATGCGATGTTTCTGTTTATTTTTAAAGAAGTATTAGAAGAGAAAAATTAAAAATTAAAAAATTATTAAAACTTCGAGTGTTTTCTTTTTATCTATTTCGTGCGCATTAAAATTCTCATTAAGGGGATTCAAAACGTCCGTGAGAAGTCTGTGGTTTCCGTCCTGTTTTATCGACAAAATGTAAATTCTTGAATTTATAATTCTGCTGTAATCTAGATATATGAGATACAGATTGATAAATCTTTTTTCTGTACAAATTAAAGTATTAAATTAACAAAGAGGGAAACGCTCTAATTTCAGATAAAATACAATCTGTAGCTAATAGATAGATTTATAGTTTATCTAACCTCATATTTTGTCGATAAAACAGGACGGAAACTACAGACTTCTCAAGGACGTTTAGGATCCCCTTAAGTTTTGTTATAAAATCATTGTATTAAATTATTGATACCCACGACTATCTCTAATAAATTTATGGGTCATATAGATGAATATTATAAACGCGATCAATAAATTAAAAAATGAAAAAGAAATTATTTCATAAAAAAAAAAACTTAATTAACTGTTTTTAGGAAAGATCGCGATGCTGCTCTTCATCGTAAGTTTGCTGCCTTTAGTGGCGAGCATGCATCTAGACATTTTACGAATGATCATCAAGACATCTTCTAATCTAATTCTGGATGTCTATAACGGCACCCTAACAGACATTCGTGTCGTCGAAGGTTCTAATCATACGGTATTAGACCTGTCAAATTTCTCTCTTCGCGGATTGGAAAGAACCGCTTTTGAGAACGTGCTTGACGCAGAGACGCTTGTATTGGCCGATAATTCGATAACTTCGCTGCCGGACTTTGTCTTTTCCAATCTAACGAGATTGCGGAGCCTGTCGCTGTCGGGCAATCAATTAACAAACGTCCGAAATCTGTTCGACGGTCTGGAGAATTTGCGATTGCTGGATATCTCCTGCAATCCCATCAAACACCTCGGGCAAGGTCACCTGTTCGGTCTCGCCAGATCCGTCAAGATTCTTACTGATGGAAATATTCTCTGTTGCATCAGCACGGGCGTGTTTGCCAACTCCTTTCTCAAGGAAGAGAAGCTGCAGCGACTAGTGACGCCGATGAATCGCGACAGGAATTTCGTGGGGAAGAGCGAAGCTGGAAGAAAAAAAGAGGAATACAGCTTAGAGGAATGCGACGCTGAATGGCTAATCGTGAAGTCTCAAAAGGTTTCGAGAAGTCTCGTCGAAATTGTTCACAATAACATTCGAATAAAAATCTGCAAATCGGACGGTATCGTAACAACATTGTCGATCTTGGAGAAGGATGAAGAGCTCGTTGATGGATGCGTTCAAGTGTCGCTCGACATGTTCGATGAGACGCGAGTTGACCTTCGCAAGCAAGAAATCAGAGGTTTTCAAGAGAACTGGTACCAGCTGCGCTTGTTGCCAATTTCTTCTTTGGATCTGTCGTACAACAATATCACTGAGATCACGAAGGAGATGCTGAACTATTTGCCGACCAATCTAACGACGGTAATCTTTTTGGGTAACAAGATTCAGAGGATCCCGAGCCAAGTGATCGAGAACTATCACCTGAAGATTCTTAACTTTAAGAGCAATTTAATCGACGAGATCGAAGACAATGCCTTTGCAAGGACGAATTTGCAAGAGTTATACTTGGCCGATAATCAGCTGAAAAGTCTCGACTTTGTCTCCAGTCTCTCGAACACCTTGACGGAATTCGTCGCAAGTGGAAACCACATATCTTCCATTCCTGATGGCGTTTTCTCCGAGCTCTCTCGTCTGCGTTTCCTGAATTTCGACGACAACGAGATCAAAGCATTGCAGAGCGACGTCTTTCAAGGTTTAGAATCCTTGCGATCGTTGACATTAATGAGCAATAATATAACGACTATCGAGTTATCCGCTTTTAAAGGTCTGACGGCTCTCGAGACGCTCGATCTTCATCGCAATTCTATACGCGATCTGCGAAAAGCCATCTTCGCCGATTTGACGGCTTTGAAGGATTTGAATCTCGCCTATAACAACATCGCGGAAGCCACGTTCGCTGATCTTCCGTCGTCCGTGGAGTCGTTGCTCCTCGATTATAATGATATTGAAGTGCTCGAGGAAGGCAATTTTATTCGAGTCCCGAAAGTCACTTTGTCATTGACTGGAAACAGAATCGCGAGTATAAAGCGCGGCGCTTTCAATCTGCCCATTCTTCGAGATTTGTACTTGGGTCAAAATGTCTTGACGACTATAGAAGGCGATAGCTACGAAGGTTTGAACCGGTTAAGGCGCCTCTGGTTGTCGGAAAATAAAATATCCGAGATTCGAAAGGGTGCCTGCAAAAATCTGGCCAGTCTTCATAGTTTGGATGTATCTAGGAATCCGTTTCGGAAGTTGGAAAATGGCGCTCTTCACGGCCTCAACACCGGCTTTGAAACTAGTTTGTATATATACGGGAATAATTTGAAAGAGATTCAAGGTGGTGTTTTCGATGATATTTAATATAATCGATATTATTGTCTCTCTATTTAAGTCACAGAACTCTCATTCATATTCCGCTAAATGTTTTCAAAAATTATGTATTAAAAAATAAATAAATGTATAAAAATATAAAATATATATATTGAAAAACAAATAACTATATATTAAATATATATATTGATATAATTAATCAATATTAGCTAACATTTATCAGAAATCGTATGTGTGAAATAAAATATATATTTACGCTGATTTTATTAATATGCATTTTTCATTTTCCTTGAAAATGTCGTAAATGTAAAATTGTCAAAAAGTGCGGAATTTCTGAGATGTTATTTAATTATATTAAAGTGTGAATTCGCCGAATTTTTTAACTTTGAAGAATACTTTTTGGTTTTTTTTACACAATTCATTAAATGAGTGAAAGTTTTGTATAATAATATTTAAATACACCTATTTAAATTATAATTTTTAAGCCAAGGATTTTACGTCCACAAAAACATGTTTTAGATAATTTTTTAAAAAATTATTGTTTTCATCTGAATTTATCCTCAACTTGTTATTTTATGATACCATTTTCGTGCCTTCTTTCGGAAAAAGTATTTTTTTCATCTTATTTAATCTTGAATATATGAAAACGTTGAAAAATCGGCAACATGTTTTAAAATTATTTTTTTATTTTTAAATGTGACAAAGCAATAGAAATTCGGTAAAACGTACCATTAACTTTTCTCTATATCATACTGTACAATTTCCTACATTTATTTTTACTTAGGTATAATTATTTTTTTTATATTTAAATAGAGAATTGAAGAAAGTATTATCAAAATAATTATATTGAGATATTTATATTTTGGTATGATACAAAAAGTATTTTATTAAATTTTTGAAAAGAGAATTTATAATTATAAATATAATATTCTTATAGATATATTTTGTTACAGATTGAGAATTATTATAGAAAATAAAACTTCTATTTTGTTATAATTTTTTTTATTTTATTGTTAGAAATACACGATTTAAAAACTCATGTGTACAATTTAGTAAACCGGTATTGCAAATCGTACCAAATACTATTTTTTCATTTTTAAAAATTTAGGAATTTGAAACAATGATAAATTTATGTTAATGTTTAGCGTTAATAAAGAAGTACAGTTTCATATGAATATAAAATTTTGTCATTTCTTTGACAGACATACCGTATGTCAAAAATGTGAGCGAGAATATCGATCGTTCATTGAAAAATGCTGGCTTTAGTGTAGTCTATAAAACAGCCAAAAAATTGGACATATTAATAAAACGAGGCAAAGATAGATTACCTAACGACGATAGAACTAATGTTGTGTATAAAATTGACTGTAAAAATTGTGATTTCTCATATATCGGTCAAACAAAAAGACATTTGCGTACTCGTATGAAAGAACATTCTAACAATATAAAATTACATGTAACAAATCATTCGGTCATAAGCAAATATAGACAAGAGTTGGGACATGAATTTGATTGAATATCACCCGTTATATTACATAATGAAAAACATGTTAGAAAGAGAGAAATCGCAGAGATGTTTTTTATCAAAAAAGTTAATAATACAGTTAACTTACATAAAGACACAGAGAATTTAAACATCTATGACAAAATTATAAAGGTCGTATAAATTCTATATACTCAGTTTTTGACGATTCATCATAACGATAAGATGCGGTTACTTTCTTTCAAAAGTTCTTTCAAATGTTTTTTCAAATGTTTTTAAAAAATTCCGATAATTATATTATTTAATAATGACAACAGTGTCAACTAACTGCGTTTTACTTTTATTAAGAAAGTATGTAAGTTTTAATTCTTGCGTTTAACATCAAAATGTTTATCTTTATTAATTTTAATTAAATGTATCATTCTAGTTTCTCACTTGAAAAGGATCAAAAACAGATGGTTGAAACGTTGTGGAAATAAAATAAAAATTTTCTTGGCTAGTTTGGGTCGAAGTTAATATATCGTTCCTAATTTAGTTAACTTAAAAATTGCATGAACAAAAAGTAACCCAGTTAAAGTTAAATTAAATAAGAAGTTAATTTTTAAAACCATTATTTATATTAAATTGGAATTTTGTTTGTTAATTCTTTTAAAATGTATGATAACAAATAAAACAATTTTGATTTTTATATAGAAATATATTTTTGGTAATTACAATTGATGACAAATGAACATAAAATTTAATATATCAATTAATAAAAAACTTTGCTCGTATATTGCATATACAACTATAGTGAGAAATAAAAAGGCCAACTTATCGAGCAATTCTTAGAGTTGTTCTGTCAAATAAAATTTATTCCATATATATACTAAACATAAAACATTATATGAAAGCTACAAACATTCTATACTATAACTTAAGCGAAAATTACAATTATTATAAGAAATAAACGTTTCAATTTGTAACGAAGCACCTTTCCCGACGCCACGGATCGGCTCGTCGGTGCCAGGATTCGGGAAGAGGGGAGACTCAGATTTACAATGACACACGGTTGCTCTGGTAAAAGTAGAGTTTATTCGGGGCCACCTTCCTGTGGTTCTCCCGTGATTCAAACCATTATACACAGCCCAGTATAATCGGACGAAACGCGACCAGATGATACAGACGCGTACACGACTTATTGCTAGGATTGACAGATAGAAATATTACGGACGAGACGCGACCAGATTATACGGACGCGGACACGACTTATTGCTAGGATTGACGGATAGAAATATTACGGACGAGACGCGACCAGATTATACGGACGCGGACACGACTTATTGCTAGGATTGACGGATAGAAATATTACGGACGAGACGCGACCAGATTATACGGACGCGGACACGACTTATTGCTAGAGTTTCCAACGCGGACACGCGTACGGGCGCCCTGAGAAGGGCGAGCTCCGTCGGGCGCCGGTGACTTTCAGGTAGGACCCGGTGACCGAGGACGCTCGGCCTGCACGACGAGAACGCTCGTCGGCCGGGGTGATTTACGGACAGGACCCGGTGACCGAGGACGCTCGGCCTGCACGACGAGAACGCTCGTCGGCCGGGGTGATTTACGGACAGGACCCGGTGACCGAGGACGCTCGGCCTGCACGACGAGAACGCTCGTCGGCCGGGGTGAGTTACGGACAGGACCCGGTGACCGAGAACGCTCGGCCTGCACGACGAGAACGCTCGTCGGCCGGGGTGAGTTACGGACAGGACCCGGTGACCGAGAACGCTCGGCCTGCACGACGAGAACGCTCGTCGGCCGGGGTGATTTACGGACAGGACCCGGTGACCGAGGACGCTCGGCCTGCACGACGAGAACGCTCGTCGGCCGGGGTGAGTTACGGACAGGACCCGGTGACCGAGAACGCTCGGCCTGCACGACGAGAACGCTCGTCGGCCGGGGTGAGTTACGGACAGGACCCGGTGACCGAGAACGCTCGGCCTGCACGACGAGAACGCTCGTCGGCCGGGGTGATTTACGGACAGGACCCGGTGACCGAGAACGCTCGGCCTGCACGACGAGAACGCTCGTCGGCCGGGGTGATTTACGGACAGGACCCGGTGACCGAGGACGCTCGGCCTGCACGACGAGAACGCTCGTCGGCCGGGGTGAGTTACGGACAGGACCCGGTGACCGAGAACGCTCGGCCTGCACGACGAGAACGCTCGTCGGCCGGGGTGATTTACGGACAGGACCCGGTGACCGAGAACGCTCGGCCTGCACAACGAGAACGCTCGTCGGCCGGGGTGATTTACGGACAGGACCCGGTGACCGAGGACGCTCGGCCTGCACGACGAGAACGCTCGTCGGCCGGGGTGAGTTACGGACAGGACCCGGTGACCGAGAACGCTCGGCCTGCACGACGAGAACGCTCGTCGGCCGGGGTGATTTGGAGTGTGGGAGTTGAGGAGTGATCCCTGAGTACGCTCGAGGGACCAGGACGGGACTGGTGTCGAAGTCTCGGCTGCGCCGCTCTTTATACCCGTCGGCCACCCCACTCTAAGACTAGCTTGGAGGGGGTCGAGTGACGGGTGGGGGCGAAAAGGCGGATTCCCAACGTATTCGTGTGGTGGCCCCGAAAGGGGCCGTTTACACGAGCGCGGGCGACTAGTGACGGCTAATCGGGTCGTCACATCACCCTCTTTTTCTAGGGGGGGTGGCTATTCGACGGATCGTTCGCGGTCTTCCTCGTCGGTCGAATCTGATGATCCACCGGCCCGTCGGGGTGCGTACCTTATACCGCCGTGAGATGGTGGCGGCGTGGTACGGTATGTCGACGGTTTGGCCATCCCCCAGAGTGACCTGGATGGGTCGTGGCGGTCCCGGGCGTGGTGCTGGCACTGGTGGGGCCTGGCCGGTTGGAGGTCGGCGTGGTGCCGGTTGGGGTGGCTCCCTGGCTGGTGGCGCGACAAGGGATCGCACCTGTTGGCCTGTGTTGGCGCGATGCGCTGGCTGGTCCGCTTCGTCCGGCGTCGCTGACTGGCGCGTGGTGGCTGGCGGTGCGACAGCGGATGGCGTGTGTCGGCGGGTGCCGGTTGAGGGAACCGATCGGTTCGCGGATGGTCGAGCGGGCTGGCGTGCGCTGGCCGGTGTCGTCGTGGGCCTGGTGACGCCGGCGACGGTGGAGGCCGGGGAGTCGGAGAGGACCGGTGGTCGTCGATGCCGGGTGTTCACCGGGATAGGTCGGCGTCTGCCCGGGGGAGGCGGAGGTGCCTCCAAGAGCACCAAGTTCCGACGTCGCTGCTCGGCGTCGGACCGCTGGATGCGGGTCCCTATTCCCGGTACTGGCCGGGTGGTTCGCCCGGAAACGGGCAGATTTCGTCCGGAAACGGACGGATTTTCTTTTGAGCGCTGGTTTGCTTCTTCGTTTGGTGTTTCCATCGTGACGGGATGAGTTCCGACCCAAGGGTGCCCGTTCTTTATACCCCTCGGTGATCTGGACGCGGACCATGAAGAGTGCCGCTCCCGGTGCGGGACCGGGTGGCAAAGCGCGGACCATGAAGAGTGCCGCTCTCGGTTCGGGACCGGGTGGCAAAGCGCGGACCATGAAGAATGTCGTTCCCGGTATTCGGCCAAAGATTTTCGACAAG